TGTCCTTCTGTGTGTGGAGGACATGAATGCACAATGGCATCCTCAAGCCTCCCCAGTCTCCGCCATTTTTTTCTTGCTCCACTTCCAAGTGCCATTTTTCAGCTTCTGCTTGGTACAAGCCATGCCAAGCACTTAATCTGTAACAAATCATTCCAAGGTGCATTTAAGGGTAGAAGCCTTCCCATTCCTAATCATGACCTAACACTATTTTGGGCATGCTTCCCAGTCCTGATAACCCTTGGGTAGCTGGAGAAGCATTTGCAATTGGCAGTGATGCTGTCTAATGAAAATGGCAATTAAAATTCAGAACACTAAAGGACATACCGCACAACACAGTTCGCTCAGCTGCGAATCTGAGACAATAATCCTACTTCATGAAAAAGGTCTGAATTAAGTTCAACTACAGTTAGACTCCTAAATCAGATAAAGCTCAGATTTCTAGGCCCATTTGATTTCTGTGCTACTTGTTAAAGAGGATTCTTGGGAGCAGTGTTTTTTGGAAGGTCCTGTAAATTGTTACTTATCCATAGCTGCCCCTTTACACAATACATTCCAGAGTTCCCCAACAAGAGGGGGAGAATATTCAATCCAGCATCAGCCTGTGCTGACATAGTCATTCTGGGTGACTTGCTCTTAAACTCTGCCTTGCAGAATAGCCCCAAGGGAGTTGAAAATATTTACTGTTGATGCAGCTTCCTACCCTCTGGAAAGGGAGAGGTCGAAGGCTGCCAGCTTTGTAGGTGTGGTCAAATTTATAGTAACAAGTACATATTGAGGAATTTATATGTCCTGGCCTTTGGGGACAGGTGTGGGAGGGAAGAGGAAAAGGGTTATTCAGGGGAGTTTCTGCCCTGGCACCTCTCCTTCCCTCAAAGATTAACTGTCAGATGAAGAACCCCCTCCCCTATTTTTCAGACCATGTAACAGGCCTCCTGCATTCTTCCTAAATGCATTACATGGAAGTATGTGGGCAGGTGGAACAGGGAGGTGTAACCACTTTAAAGGCCCTTTTTCTTCTCCAGTTGCTTTTCTCTGGAGTCTTTGAATATTGCTGGTACCTTCCCAGCTGGAAAATCTCTGTCTGCCCACTTGCTTCAGTTCCATTCCTTTTTCTTGAGTAGAGGGTTGCTTTGCATCTCCTCACCTGGTCAACAGAACTACAGTATCTCTGTTTGGGAATAATGGCAGAAAGTCACTCATGTGGCCTGGCAGTGATTTGTTTCCAGACAAGTGATCTGAAATGTACAACTTTTTCTTTACCCCTCTATTCATTTGCAAAATTAATGTTCAGATTGGTTTTTTTTGAAAATTGGCAACTTTAGGTTGAAGTCTACACATCTTAAAGTTGCCAAGTTTCAAAAAACACTGGTTTAGATGATATCCTAGATATGAATATCATTTTTATAGGGAAAAAAAACATTTGTGATATGTTCATGCACAGCTTCCATTCATTTCTCTTGGACCTGCACAGGAAAGCTCCCAGTGTAGGAAAGTGAGCAAATTCATGTTTAACTATATTCAGCCATCCTTCGCAGCCCCCAGATTCCATAGCCACTAGAAGTTACAAAGCATGGGCAGGCAATACCATTTTGTGGTCTCTTGGGCTCTCAGCAAAATTATTAATGAAAAATAGAGGGTGGTCTTTCTTTTTTAACTGAATGTCTAATACTTTGGAAATATCAACTTCCTGATTGAATCTTTAAAGGGTTTGATGTAGCTTTATTAACCTTGGCAGCTGATTTATAAACCAGACATGATGGGGTGTAAACCATGGTTTATAAACCCAGCCCATTTTAGTTTATTCAATAAACTGGTTAAACAAAGCATGATTTAGTGTGATATGACTCTGTTGTGGCCCCTGGTAAACGACATGAATGTAAAGCCTTGTTTTGTCTTTGGCTGTTTTCATGACTGTTTCATGACTTTATTTATGGTGAACAATAAACTAGCAACCACAAGTTAGTCTCAGCTATGTGGTTTATGGTTCATTGTATTGTCTGAACCAAGTAACTGAATTAATTCAATAAACAATTATTAATTTAACCATTGGCCAGTATGTCACACAAATATAGCATTTGTGTATCTGTAGAGCAGAAAGAAAGAATCTGTTGCTGTATAGATGTTGCTGAACCAGACCTTCCAGCAGGCAAGGTTTGCTGAGAAGTTACAGTTCAGCAACATATAGAAAGCCAGAGGACTTCCCACCACCACAATACTGAATATTTTCTTTGATGGTTCTATAAAATGTCATGCACGCAAACAGTCTGAAACACTTTACCTGGCTGGCCTCCCCGCATTAGCGAAATGAGGTCTTTGTCATCTTCCCACTGCAACCCATGGCTTTAGGACATGCTAGAACCTGTGAGGCAGGATGGGGGAGGGAGAATCTATAAAAAGAAAAAAGAAAGACACCCTACCTTCCCTTTTATTTGAAGGTAGATCAAAGAGTCCCAATAAACTCTTAGTAACACTGCAACTGAGGCTTCTTTTGGGGATTATGAGAAGGCAGGGTTATCAATAAAGCTGTGCTTACTGATGTCCTGGATGTTAAGGTCTTGACTTTACACCCCACCACAACTCATTCCAAACCAGAAGTGAAACACACATAAGAAGAACATGTCCTACTCATGTGATGCATTGCTGAATAAACCTCCAGAGTCAACTTTTGAGGGTTAAATGCTAGAGTCAGCGGCCACTGACCCCTGGCTCCTCAAAATCCTCCCTGCCATCTCAGCTTCTCTTTGTCTTTTTTTCCTAGGCAGGTGAGAAGACTTAAAGCTTTGAGCTGCAGTAACCCTATTATTTCCTAAAATAATATGAGACCTACATGAGATCCAGAGGCATTCTTGTAAATAAAGATAGACCTTAGAGGCTTTGCTTTACAGCACGGAGCTTCCCATTTCTAAAAATAAGATCAGATTGAATAGGGAGACTGGCAGGCACCAAGGGCATGGACATATTTGGGCCCATGGGCTTCAGGGCGCCTCTCTCTGATCAGATGGAAGTTATATAAATAATATATAACAAGAACACATCTGTACAAACTGACACATAAACTGCTTTAATACATGGGACTGGCACAAACATACTGCAGTGCAATCTCACCTCTTTTGGATCCTGATCAGCCACTTTCCATTTCTTTCCCCCAATTCTACTTTCTCTTCTGATCAGATTCCTTTTCCAGCTCAAACTGTTGAACATGTTCTGTCTTCAATGTGCTGCTGTTGTTGTCTTTTCCTCCACTGAGGAAAAAAAGCAGCTTAGAGTATTCTGGCAAAGTTGGGACTTCATTAAGCATGTTGCTATTCCCCTTTTTGCCTCTTGGTGGCACAAATGGCACTCAACAGCCAAATTTGCTATTTGAAGGGGGGATCTCAAGGGCCACCTGAACCTTCTCACGGAAAGGGCATACACAGAATCTGGCATTTATTATTATTATTTAAATATTTATAAATATTTATTTATCCAGGGTTTTGATTGGGAGTGCCCTTTTATAGTACAGTAA